TGATGGCCGGGAGATGATGGGTGTTGGGGTTAAAGAGAGCCGCGTCCTGCAGCAGTGGAGGGAGGACACTCAGGAGGAGTTCACCTGGATAACTGAGGTACATACCATTACGTTTAATCACTACGGTGGCCCTGAAGGTCAAACAAGAGAGTCCACAAAGAGTATGAGATTTAGCAACTTTTCATGATCCTAAAACATCCTAAAACACATTTGTTGTTTGAAGTGTTTTTCTTGTGAATCGTCCTTGTGTTATTCATCAGTTGATTTAATTACCATAGTTCTTTCCAAATTGTAGTGCAGTAGAAGTACCTTACAGTACGTTTACCACTAAAGTGTGTTCTGTACTTTAGCTAATATATGTGAGTGTTCTATCTAAAGTGCCTCTGTGTTTCGGCTCAGGAGCTGATGGAGGAGCGTCAGGGTCACATGGACGCGTTTAAAGCCATCAACATCTTCAGAGAGCAGATGATGACCAGAAGAGCTTCTTCAAGGCTCTGTAAGGAAATATAATATATATATAAATACATAATATTTAGTATCTGCAGAATATTTAAAAATACATTCTGTGTCTCTTCTGCAGAGCTGTGATGAAGAGGAGAAGAAACGATGAAACAAAACTGAAGTCATTTATTTTAATCAATAGTTTTTGTATATTCTTTAGCATCAAACGCGATGGGGTTTTTCAATTGTACACACACATCATCCAGATGTAATAAATGTATATTTATGATCTAATTTCTTGTCATATCACCAATTATTGATTAGAGTTTCTCACGCAGAAAGCAGTCTCTGTCTCCCCCTGCAGGCTGAAACATGACACTGCACGAAAACACACAACAATACTGCAATATCTGACCTGGTATTACAAATACTACTCCCTATACCTCTCTAATATCACTGTTACTGCTACAAATATATGTATTTTATAAGTATTTCTACTACATATGTATTTACTCTATTAGGTACTGGTGTTAGTATTACTTCTTATACATACTTTAAATGTATTATCTGCGTTTACTTCATTTACAACTTGTATTGAATGACTTTCCGGTCTTTACTCAGGTCTGGATTTGTAACTCTTGACCTGTGACTGGATATATTGGACTTGTCAGATTTGACTTCTAGGTCTTGATTTGGTACCTGATTTGGGACTTGTCGGTCCTGACTTGGTACAGGACTTGTGACATGTCACTCTTGACTTCAAATATGTCCGTCTTGGTAACAGACTCGGGACTTCAGTTTAGGACTTGTCTTGATGGTCTTAAATTGAACCGGATTTGGGACTAGTCATATTGACTTGGGACGAGAGTCAGGACTAGTCAGACTTTACCTGGGACTTGTCTGTCGTAACTTGGTACGGAAATCAGGGCTAGTAGTCAGTCTTGACAAGGGACTTGTTGGTATTGATTGTTACCAGACTCGGTGCAAGTCAGTTTTTAAATTGGACTAGTCTGTCTTGACTTGGGACTTGTCGATCTTGACTTGGTACCAGACTTGGACTAGTCAGTCTAGACTCGTGACTTGTCTGTCTTAACTTGGTACCAGACTTGGACTATTCCATTTTAGACCGGACTAGTCAGTCTAGACTCAGGACTAATCAGTCTTGACTTGTTATGGGCTCAGGATTAGTCGGTCTTAACTTGGTACCAGACTTGGACTACTCAGTTTATACTTGGGACTTGTTGGTCTTGACTTGTTACCTGACTCAGGGCACGTCAGTCTTAAAATGTGACTATTCAGTCTTAATTTGGTCCCAGACTTGGACTATTCAGTCTAGACTTGGGACTTCAATGTCTTGACCTGGTACCGAAATCAACACTATTGTCGGTCTTGACTTGAGACTTGTTCTGGATATGCTACCAGATGTGGAGACTAGTAATTGAGTCAGTCTTGATATGTGGTCCCCCCCCCCCCCTTCTCTCTCTTCCGGTGGTTCTGTCCTCACTGTAACATCTGAATGTCTCGTGCTGCACTCATAGAGTGTGTGCGGGGGATTGGGCGCGAGCATGGGTGCGCGTGCACGCGGGTTCACGCATGTCCTGCCCTTGTGCTATGATCCGGCGCGTGGACACACACACACACACACACACACACACACACCCAAACACACACACACACACACACACAGAGAAAGAGAAAGAGAGAGAGAGAGAGAGAGAGAGAGAGAGAGAGAGAGAGAGAGAGAGAGAGAGAGAGAGAGAGAGAGAGAGTTAGAGAGAACCTCCCTCTGCTCGGTGACCGACCCGTCTCCTCGGGGCTCGGGAGGAAGAACCGGATCATCTGCCCGGTGCTTTTTTATGTTCCAACCGGAGAAAAGAGCGGATGATGTGACCGGAGCAGAGGAAGAAAGGACGGATGCAGCATGAGAAACCGACTATGGGCTAAATATAGTCTTTGCCCCCCCGGAATGCACCACCTGCCCTCCCGGTACCGGTAAGTCGTGGAGGAAAATATTGGAAACATATCGGTCAACGTCAACATTTAGAACGATCCCCGGTTAGACCCGTGAAGATGACTTCTGAGGTCTCGTGAGGTCGGGTTACCGTGCAGCCATGTTGCAGGGAGGAGGGGGAGGCGGGGGGGGGGCGACTCTTGACACCTGCCCTCATTCCCGGTAACGGGGAAATAACCGGTAAAAGATGGCATTATATCACGGGTACAAAGGAGTTTCTGTGTCGGGGAGTCATGGGGGTTTTTGACACCCAGCGGAGGTGGGAGGGGGGAGGCCGGGGTGTGGAGCAACTGTAGCCGGAGATGAGATAGAGCTCCTCGGGCGGATGCGGTGGCGGACCGTGTCGCCTGGAGACGGGGGTGGAAGTGAACCGAGGTGATGAAAGGGCTGGCGTCTTAATGATTTTTAATTATTTAATTCATTGCTTTACTTAATTTTTTGGATTATGTACATTTTTCCTTTTCTTTTAATTATTTTTTAATTTTAATATGATGAGGCTATTTATTTTTATATTTCCTAATTTAATTTTTAGTCCTGTTTTATTTGTATCTATTGTAAATGACATGTGACCTCATTTCCATTCAAATCCTTTATAATGTAATTTTTATTCTAATAAAATTCAGAATAAATACGTTTATTTTATCTAGTATTTAATATTTATTGACCTTATGTAAAATGCTAAAAGATATATAATGTGTGGATGAGAGCGGAATAAGTATTTTATTTATTCATTTAATATGCTCAATTATTCAAATATTTTGTTATATTTATATACTTTTATAATTTATCTCTCCTAATTAATTTTTGATAACACATTTTTATTTAAATAATATGTCTAATTCTATTAATTAAATTATTTTATCTTTTTGTACACAATCGGAACTATATTATTTCAAATTATTTTATTAACTCCCAATATGTATTTATTTTCTTCTGAGATGCATAATATGTATGAAGCAATTTTACATTTTTTATTATTATATAAAATCATTTTATTTCTTTTTAAGCTGCTCTATTATCATCTATTATTACAATGAAATTACATGTAAGCGCAGACGGATGCCCATTACTGTGAAATATATATAACTTTATTTGTATTAGTCAGTAATTGAACAGGTGGCAGGTGGTTATTGATGATCCTAACTGACGATGATTCTGATTGGTTGTCGGGCAGCGAAGGTCAGGGCAGGAGACGGGTGCACCACGCGGGGGCCGTTGCCATGGCGATAACCGGATATAAAATGATTTATCCCCTTATTATTGAGTCTTATCCATCCAATAATTTATTCATACACAGATTCACTTGTTCATATCTGTGTCTCTCTCTCCTCTTCCTCTTCCTCCTCTTCCTCTCTCCTCTTCTTCCTTTTCCTCTTCCTCTCTCCTCTTCTTCCTCTTCCTCTTCCTCCTCCTCTTCCTCTTCTCCTCCAGGTCAATGAGAGGCAGAGATCCTCCCCCATTTTCTCCCCTCATGCTCCCATATGTTAAAAAACACACTCGTCTTATTTTAGCAACACTGCCTTCTTCTTCCTCCTCTTCCTCTTGACTCTTCTCCACACACACACACACACACACACACACACACACACACACACACACACACACACACACACACAAACAGTGGAAAATGAAGCGTGGGTCGAGTGTGTTGCAGCGTCCCTCTGATGCAGCCACACACACAAACACAAACACACACACACGCACGACTAGAGGAGATGAGGATGCTGCCGGTTCGAGTCCCTTCCCAGCAGCCACCTCTCTCTTCAGCCCTGATGTCAGCACCAAGATGGCGTCTGACCTCCTCATCAGGCTGTCAGGTAACACACACACACACACACACACACACACACACCACACACACCAACACACACACACACACACACACACACACACACAGTATGCACACATCTTATACAGTGCTAAGGATTAATCAATAAGTAAATTGACAGAAAATTAAAGCCCAGTTTCCATTATTGATTGTAATTAACGCCGTGAAGCAAGTGTCATTTTCTCATGTTTTTAAATGTTTTCTTATTTTTGGTGAATTTAAAATAATAATAATAATAATGTAGAAAGATTGTACCTACTAAAAAAGATAATAATAAGAAATATAAATAAATACAAGGTTAAAAATATATTGATCTATTTTATTTTATTATTTAAGACTATTCTTTTAAGGCCGTTATTTAGTTCTAAGTGAAGGGACAGGTAGGTGAGAATTTTTATTTTTTATTTAGGATTATAATTTTGGCCATTAATTATTTTATAACGAGAAACAGGTAGATTATAAATGTGACCTTTTTATTCTAATTTATTTCATTTTTAAGATTATTCTTTGGGTGTTATTCATGATCAAGATTTTAAAGACCCTCTACACTCTAATGGCGCTTTTCCTTTCCACTGCAGGACCTCGCACGGCTTAGTACGGTATGGTTAGGCCTTGTTAGGCCAGGCTCACTTTATGCTGCGTTTCCATTACAGTTGATTAACAGGGGTAGTAACTATAGCAACGCAGTGTAGGCGGGGCGATCGGCTGTTCGGCGGGCGGAGCAACGCTGCGTAAAACTGCCATGACGTCCTCTTCAATGCGACAAAACAACACCAACATCAGCCGTTAGCTGTTAGCCCTCAGAGCTCACAGCTCCTCATATCTGTTTAGAAACTAGACACAAGTTAAACAAGTACAAACCACAGACTGCCTGTGTCATGGCGAATACAGTCGCTGGTTTATTTATGTCTGTAGGCCGTTGTTGTGAGTGTGGACGGTCGGAGCATATACAACGTTAGCTTAGCCGATCTCCATTCAGAAAACTCGGATTTGGTGTTTCGCCTGCCGTTTGTCTGCAGACTTGTCAAAGCATTAATTCATGGTTTTTACTAACCGGTATCAGTATGTTGTTACTTCGGCATCATTTTGAAACGTGTATTACAATTAAATCGACGGTCAAATATGTTCATTTTGTTGTAGTTGTAGCCCCCTTGCCAGCGATTCTCTCTGACCATTCAGCAGTCGAGAGTGTTTACGTCACTAGTTTAGCATATTCAGCCCGGTTGTTGGCCCGGTAAGAACCTCGATTTTGGAGGGCCAGAAAAAGGTGAAAAAGTAGCCCGAACTACCCCTAGTGGAAAAGCAACAAAAAGCTTAAAACCGTGCTACGTGTTGCAGTGGAAAAGCGCCATTAGATTAGAAGTGGGATAGTAGTTTGTTTATTATAATAAAATAAATAAAATAAATAAAATAAATAAATAAATAAAATAAATAAAATAAATAAAATAAATAAAATAAATAAATAAATAAATAAATAAATAAATAAAATAAATCTCTCTCTCTCTCTCTCTCTCTATCTTATCTCTCTCTCTCTCTCTCTCTCTCTCTCTCTCTCTCTCTCTCTCTCTCTTCAGAGGCGACCCAGAAGGCCCAGATGCATCCTGGGAGGCCGGCGGATGAACCGGGTCTCGCTCTCTCTCCGGACGGACCGGGGGCGAGTCCCGAACCTCCCACGCTCTCACACACACCTGAAGGCAACGCCAACACCGACACACTGGCCTCAGACATGCTGAGGAAACTGGCAGGTGTGTGTGTGTGTGTGTGTGTGTGTGTGTGTGTGTGTACTGGTGTGTGTGTGTGTGTGTGTGTGTGTGTGTGTGTGTGTGTGTGTGTGTGTGTGTGTGTGTGTGTGTGTTATATTATTATTGACACACACACAAACACACAGTAAATGTTTAAATTGTTTTATTGTCTTTTGTGTTTATGGTTATATTGGTCTGGGTTTGCATCGGTTCAACATACTGTAAATATAGGTGTGTGTAAGTGTAGGTGTGTAAGTGTGTGTAAGCGTAAGTGACTGTAAGTGAGTGTAAGTGTGTGTAAGTGTAAGTGAGTGTAAGTGAGTGTAAGTGAGTGTAAATGTGTGTGCGTGTGCGTGTGTGTGTGTCAATAATAAAAACTATCATTACTTGCAAGAAGAATAAAAACACTGACTGACTGATTTTCCACCAATCACAGAGCGGCAGGAAGTGAGCAGCCACATGGTTCGGGTCAAAGAAGAAGAAGAGCAGATGGAGGTCGACCTCGTCCACCATCGACCAATCACAGCAGAGATAACCCCACCTTCGCCGAAAAAGCCAACTCCACATCTTTTCAAAATCAAAACAGAAGACCAGGGTCTCCGTGGCAACCAGGTGAACCTGCACCCTGGAGCCAAAATGGCAGACCAGTGTCTCAATGGCCTTAAAAAAGAAGACAACTTTTACACTGGAGGCGGCCATTCTGGCTCTAAAGCGGCAGGAAGCGTCGTCTCCGATGCCAACAAGTTTCAGTTCAAAGTGAAACTGGAGGATCATGGAGCCAAGATGGCGGACCAGCTTCTATCCGGAGCCAAGATGGAGGACCAGCTTCTCTTAAAAGCCAAAATTGCACAGAGCCCTTTCCCCGCCAACACGTTCCTCTCCGGAGTCAAGATGGAGGACCAGTTTCCTTCAGGGGCCAACAGGGCGGAGAACCAGCTTCTCTTCGGAGCCAAGATGGAGAACCGGCTTCTTCCCGGAGCCAAGATGGCGGACCACGTTCTCTCCGGAGTGAAGAAGGAGGAGCAGCTCTTCTTCAGAGCCAAGATGGAAGACCAGTTCTCCTCAGGAGCCAAAATGGAAGACCAGTTCTCCTCAGGAGCCAAGATGGCGGACCAGTGCCTCAGAGCGGCGCTGTGGCAGGACATGTCGGTGAATCTGGCCTCAACACTGCTGCACCAGCTCTCAGGTAAATCAGGACACAGGTGATTCTCCATCCTGTTGTACCTGGAGAGTTATTCCCTACGAACACATTCACATTTAATTACTGTGTTTAATTCACCTTTTGACTTACTGTGTACTTTTACAAACCAATTGACGTTTTTTTTTATTAAGTGAGACTTTTTTTGTAAATTGTCTTTGCGTATTTTGCCATATAAAGCAATATATAAATTAAATGTATTATTATTATTATTATGATATCAGTTTGTATATATATATTTATTACTACCTGTTTAACCTTAAAAATTCAGAATTTCCTAAAATAAAGTAATAAATTCAAGGAAAATTCTCTCAGATTTAAGAAGTAAATAAACAAGAAGAACACTTGATTTTTTGGTGATATTATCAATAATAAATAGGTAAACAAAAATACATTGTTTGGGTTTTTTTTTCTTGAAGATTAAGTAAGTAATTCAGAGTAATTCACAATTTTCTAGCAAATTTCTGATTTCTTTCTCATAAATAAACAAGTTTAATCTTAAAAACTCTGAACATTTGGGGGGGATTTTGTCCCCTTCCCCTGGCTCAATCATTTATATATTTCTAACCTACAATGTTCATAACAAACACTTTTGTAAATCTGTATTTACCGACTTTAATAACATAATAAATCAACTTTAATTTCAATCTGCAGAGAGAGTCAGTAAATCCAACGGTCGGCTGGAGAGGACGACTCCGACCTTCAGGAGCAGGTAAAGCCACTTCCTGTCTGTGATGTCATGTGACCTCTGATCTGCTCTGTTTGACACTGTGTGTGTGTGTGTGTGTGTGTGTGTGTGTGTGTGTGTGTGTGTGTGTGTGTGTGTGTGTGTGTGTGTGTGTGTGTGTGTGTGTGTGTGTGTGTGTGTGTGTGTGTGTGTGTGTGTGTGTTGTGTGTGTGTGTGTGTGTGTGTGTGTGTGTGTCATTTCCACAGTCCTGTTTTGCCGGTGAATGTGGACCCTCTTCGCTCCTCCCCTCTTTTGAGCTCCCAGGAACCTCCACATGGTAACACACACACACACACACACACACACACACACACACACACACACACACACTTTTGGGGGATATGTGTGTATAGCCTTGTTGTTATTGTTAGGACTCTTTAATGGCTAAGTGTACTGTTTCTAACGTGCATTATGGATTCATGCTGCCACTAGATTGTCCTTTGGGTTTATAATAAAAACTACAAACAATCCCAGAGCAGTTTAGCAATAATGATAACGTCCGCAGAGACTCATCATCACTCACACAGAATAATACATAATGCATTCATCTGATGAATCGCTCTGCAGAATAATGAGCATTTTATTTTGTTCTCACAGAAACCAAAACCAGCCTCAGCAGAGATCAAACCACAGGTTGCTCTTACTTCTACAGGTAACACACACACACACACAAACACACACACACACACACACACACACACACACCACACCACACACACACACACACACACACACACACACAACACACACACACACACACACACACACTGCTGTACTTGTGAGGACCCTGTTATACAAGTAATAGTATTTTCTTTTCATAATCATTGATATGTATTTAAATGAATAGTTGCAAACGTATTATTGATTTTAATGATTTTATTATTTTGAATGATGTATTCGCATATTTATTATGTTATTTATTTATATTTATTTTACTTTTTTTTTTTCTTGTTTCTTTTGACATTATGTTTGTGTCTAAGTAAAACGAATGTTTAGTTAATTAGTCCACTTAGCTTAGCTTAGCATAAAGAATGGAAACAGCTAGCATGGATCTGCCTGAAGGTGTCCACCAGCACTTTTTTAAAGGGCCCATGTCATGGCCATTTCCACTGATCATAATTCCATTGTTGAGGTCTACTAGAATAGATTTATATTGTGCATTTTTCCAAACTCACATTGGTTTCTCATACAGCATCTCTGTAAACTACTTGTATTCACTGAATTTCACTCTCTGCCTTGAACGGCTCATTGTAGCTCCAATAGCTCCAGCCCCCACCCTCCCTGTGAGCACAGTGTGCTCTGATTGGTCGGGACGTTGTGAATCGCGCTGAGCTCCGTGGAGGTGTTGTTTCCTTGTTTAGGATACATAGCGAAACACAGCCAAATTCATCCTGAGCACACACAAAGTCACAGCCGAAGTAAAAACAATAAGTGTGGCTTGATATTGAGTAAGAAAAAGGTTGATAAACGCAGTGAGAATGGGTCTGCAGAGAGAATTTTGCCGCGATCCCAACTGTCTGTTATCAGCCTGCAGCCAGGGAGGAGAAATCAGCTGAGCTGCCTGCTCCCTGCACACAGATGTGTGTGTGAGGAAGTCCGTGGATTGGTCAATTTGGACCAATCAGCGGGGGCTTAACGCAACGGCTCCGCGGACGTAACGTAACGGCTCCACGGATTGGTCCATTTCGTTCCGGGTACGGCATGACATCATGCCGTACCCGGAACGAAATGGAAGAATCAAATGGACAATGACGTATCTCCAACGAGGCGTTTTGGGGAGGTATTTTCTGTGTTCGAGTTTTACTCGCTACAGGGTGTACTTTGAGGGTTTTGACTCTGCACACCGTTTACATGCAGAAAGACCTTCATAACACAAGGGGACGGGTAATAACCGGAAAAGCATGACATGGGCCCTTTAATTCCCTTTTACCAATACTAAAATATGAAAATCCTCCCTCTACCTGTCCTCCAGGTGTCACGTGTGCGGCTTCGAGACAGACGGCTGCCTCCTTTTCCAGAGTCACATGACGGAGCACCGCCAATGGGAGCGCGGCTCCTTCTCGCTGCACTGCTGCGTGTGTGACCACTCGACCAATCAGGAGGCAGAGATGAGGGTTCACGCCAACACGCACACACACGCTCACACCAGCGCGGAGATCAGGTCGGTTCACTTTATCATTGTTATTTATATTATAGAAATATATATTTACTAAAAAGCTTCAGTTTAATCCTAAATGTTGTTATACATTCTATTATTATATTATATAAGTATTTTCTTTATCAGAGCGTTGTGATACTATGAAGCAGTCTCTCTCTGACTCATGAAGTAGTGTCTTATTTGGAGGTGTGAAATGTGTGTGTGTGTGTGTGTGTGTGTGTGTGTGTGTGTGTGTGTGTGTGTGTGTGTGTGTGTTGTGTGTGTGTGTGTGTGTGTGTGTGTGTGTGAATGTGCGTGTGAAATGTTAATGTGATTGTGTGTGTGTGTGCGTGCGTGTGTGTGTGCGTATGTGCGTGAATGTGCGTGTGAAATGTTAATGTGATTGTGTGTGTGTGTGTGTGCGTGTGTGTGTGGTGTGAAATGTGTGTGTGTGTGAATGTGCGTGAATGTGTCTGTGAAATGTTAATATGATTGTGTGTGTGCGTGTGTGTGTTTCTGAGTGTGTGTGTGTGTGCATCATTAACCCCCGCCTCCCCTCTTGACTCCCAGGTGCCCCGTCACCTCTCCTCCCACCTCCTCCACCACAGTTTCCGTGGCAACAACAAGCTCCTCCCCCTCCTCCTCTGAGCACCGCTGCCGTATCTGCCAGAGGTCGTTTCCGGGGCAACAGGAGCTGCTGGTGCACTTCCAGGGTCATCGCCAGGGCAACCAGTACAGGTGTGAGCGCTGCGGTCACCTGACCCGAACGGCCAATAAGCTGGTGGAGCACGTGCGCGTGCACACAGGAGAGCGCCCGTTCACGTGCACGCTCTGCAGCTACAGTGCCAAGCGGAGAGACAGCCTGCGCCTGCACTGCAAGGTCAAACACCCGGAGCACACACACACACACACACACACTCAGCGGCTGCACACACACACACCGTCAGCAGCTGTTTGCTCCTCCTCCTCCTCCTCCTCCTCCTCCTCCTCCTCGTCTGTTGCTCCTCTTCTTCACCCCTCGCTCTCTGACAGGTGGAGGGATCTGTCTCCTCTCCTGCCAATCACCACCCTGCTCTCTCTGAAGCCTCGCGCCCCTTCATCTTCCTCTTCCTCCTTGTTATCCCCCTCCTCTTCCTCCTTGTTATCCCCCTCCTCTTCCTCTTCCTCCTTGTTATCCCCCTCCTCTTCCTCCTTGTTATCCTCCTCTTCCTCCAAACACTCCTTCCTCAGTTACCTTGGTCTGAAAACTTATTTGTAAATGCTTTTTTTTTCTCCTCCTCTCCTTATCTTCTCTCCTTTTTAGTCTCCTCGTTTCCTCTCCTCATTCTGTCTCTACTTGTCTCCTAGTCTGTTCTCCTTCTCCTTTCCTTATCTTCTCTCATTTTTAGTCTCCTCGTTTCCTCTCCTCATTCTGTCTCTACTTGTCTCCTAGTCTCTTCTCCTTCTCCTTTCCTTATCTTCTCTCATTTTTAGTCTCCTCGTTTCCTCTCCTCATTCTTTCTCTACTTGTCTCCTAGTCACTTCTCCTTCTCCTTTCCTTATCTTCTCTCCTTTTTAGTCTCCTCGTTTCCTCTCCTCATTCTGTCTCTACTTGTCTCCTAGTCTGTTCTCCTTCTCCTTTCCTTATCTTCTCTCATTTTTAGTCTCCTCGTTTCCTCCCCTCATTCTTTCTCTACTTGTCTCCTAGTCTCTTCTCCTTCTCCTTTCCTTATCTTCTCTTATTTTTAGTTTCCTCGTTTCCTCTCCTCGTTCTGTCTCTACTTGTCTCCTAGTCTCTTCTCCTTCTCCTTTCCTTATCTTCTCTCATTTTTAGTCTCCTCGTTTCCTCTCCTAATTCTTTCTCTACTTGTCTCCTAGTCACTTCTCCTTCTCCTTTCCTTATCTTCTCTCCTTTTTAGTCTCCTCGTTTCCTCTCCTCATTCTGTCTCTACTTGTCTCCTAGTCACTTCTCCTTCTCCTTTCCTTATCTTCTCTCATTTTTAGTCTCCTCGTTTCCTCTCCTCATTCTGTCTCTACTTGTCTCCTAGTCTCTTCTCCTTCTCCTTTCCTTATCTTCTCTCATTTTTAGTCTCCTCGTTTCCTCTCCTCATTCTGTCTCTACTTGTCTCCTAGTCTCTTCTCCTTCTCCTTTCCTTATCTTCTCTTATTTTTAGTCTCCTCGTTTCCTCTCCTCATTCTGTCTCTACTTGTCTCCTAGTCTCTTCTCCTTCTCCTCTCCTTATCTTCTCTCCTTTTTTGTCTCCTCGTTTCCTCTCCTCATTCTGTCTCTACTTGTCTCCTAGTCACTTCTCCTCCTCCTTTCCTTATCTTCTCTTATTTTTAGGTTCCTCTCCTCATTCTGTCTCTACTTGTCTCCTAGTCTCCTCTCCCCCCCTCTCCCCCCCCTCTCCCCCCCCCCCTCCCCTCTCCCTCACCCCCCCCCCCCGTGTGTCAGAGGTGTCGTCTCTAACAGAATGTCAATCAGCTGCTGTTTCCTGAAAACAGTGAAAAATGAACGTTTTGAATTTACTCGACTTTTTGCATCGTTGACTTCCTGCTGCATTCCTGCCTGCTTCAGCCGTCATTTACTCACTAAATATTTAAACCTGTGACATGATATTTATAGCCCGTCTCTCTCGTCCTTCAGAAACCCTTAAAAAAAGAACTTAAAAAAACACTCAAAAATGAAAACACTTAAACTCATAGAGAAAATCACTGAGAGATGTTTCACTTAACCTCATGGTGGCGCTAGAGGGAAAGTCAGAGCATCGCCAAACTCGGCGTGGTTTATCCTCGGGGGATCACGAACGTCTACACTAAATATAATTGTAATCCGTTTAACGGTTGTTGAGATATTTCAGTCTGGAGCAACCAACGTTTCCCACGCTAAATAATCATGGTGTGTGAAATCCGGCGCTCTTAAGGAATAACTTGAGATAAAACATGATGATTTAAAGAAGAATATAATATATATAAGGACTTATTAATGCATTCCTAACATTCCTAAACTGTATATATTATATATAAGGAAGATCCTAAATGAATGTGCTTAAGTCGGGACGTTCGGAAAATGTATTTATCCGACAAACGTTCCAATTTATTTACATTTAAGTATTAATATGTGTCGCTAATTAATGTTTAACTACTGACTAATTCTTAATAATCATTTCCTGTCACTTAAACGTGAAAGGAACCTAAACTAAAGAATTTCTCTGAGTGTTTCTGAAGGTCTGAGGTTTCTGGAGGACGGTGATGATCTTTCTACTTGTGTTGTGTATTGATAATGTATTTGTGTTTACACATAACAACACGGGGCTCCTTAGAGTCTGAGAATGTCTTAATTTAAAGTTTGCACTACATGTAGTTCAGCTGAGACCAGAAGAAATGTCATTTTAGAACAAATGTTACGTTTTGCAGAAAATCCGCTTTATGTCTAAAAAAAACACATTTAATTGAATATTATTTAATATTTTACAGGAAAATCTGTGCGCACAATTTAGTAATTCATGCTCTGGATTTAACATCATATTAAACTTGTTTCGCACTTCTGTCCCGGAGGTCAGAAAAGTATTTTATATAATTGATTATGAATCAGTTTGTGTGTAAATAGACATTAATTACACCAAATGGCTGAATTCAAGAGCACACATTATTAAATTGTGCGCCTAAAATGTGATGATTGGTTCTCCTTGATACTCCGGGGCTCTGTATATATTATTATTTTTATATATTTTGCATGTAATGTGAACGGCGTTACTCTAATCAATCGTCAGGACACAGCGCTGTACTTTCCCACGGTTTTTATTTGCATCAAATGCCCCGTGTGTTTATCTGCATTATGAACATCACTGATGTGAAATCACACACGCACTGCGCATGTTTTGCAACCTGCACAAATACAACAAATAGATGACCTGACTTTATAAGGTGCAGTGAATGCTTCATCGGCACCTTCAGTTGTATAAAAAAACACTTAAAGTGTAATTATTATTGTTTTCTTCATATTTTCTTTGCAGATTTCAGTTCCAAAGCGACACATATATTGAATAAAATCAAAAAACACAAAGTAGGACGCAAAGAGATGAAGAAAATCCCCCTTATTCTCTTTGAATTATGTTTAATTTTCTGTTTTTATTTTTGCTTTATTTGAACTGTTCAATAGAGCGGTGCAGGGATGACGTATTTACCCGGAAGTAAGCTGCTGGTTCCCTCGACTAAAAGCAGCGGGATTTCTCCATAGGATTTAGGAAAAGACCTCGAAATAAGATCTGTGGAAAACAAACCTGTTTGATAAATGCACGTTTTGTTTAGCCGGATAATCTCCACATGCAAAATGCAAAATGCTGGTGGTCCGTGAGCGCCCCCTAGTGGTCCGTGAGTATATTGGTAAAATTTCACATTTGAAATAAATAAATACATTTAAGTTTTCCGCACTCTCGCGGGAATATCTCCGCAATGGAGCGAGCTTAAGTTTCACTTTCGATTGCATGATATAGCCCAGCGCAACACCTTCATCACACATGTTGCCACTTGTTTGTACCCTTTTCAGGCGATTTGTAATCTGTTCTAGAAAAACGATGTGATTTTGGATATTTGTGGAGTTATGTGGTCCGCGAGTGTTTTTTTTATTGGTTAAGTGGTCCTTGGTATGAAAGAGTTTGAGAAACACTGCTATAAAGGAACTACAGCCGAGTACAGCTGCACGACTTCAACGTCAACTTAAGATCCATATTCAAACATACAGATTCTAAATGGTACAAGTTGAAGCGTTTGTTTGAACAGTTTGCAGGAGGCAGGTACTTGCTTTCAAGCAGAACAGGGCAAGCTAACTTAGAGGAGTGTTTACGTGTTCGGCGTAATGACGTACAACGTCCTCCACGACTTCTGTAGTCCTATTCAGCCACTTGGTAACAACCATCATTTTTCAGACACGTCAGCTCTTCAGAAATCACCAGTGGGGTCACTGCTGATGGATTTAATGTCGTAGAACAAAACGTAATCCGTCTCTTTGTGTCAACCACAGACCTTATTTCCAGATATTTTCCAGAATCCTATGGAGAAATCCCATTGGCTCTGAGACGAGGGAACAGGAAGTGGTGACATGCTGACTCACTTCCTGGTTTTAGGACTCGTCACTGCACCACTCAGTTAATTCCCAGTGACACGAACAGCTTACAAAATACACTGTGCACATTACAACAGATAACGTTAATAAAATCTTCTTAATAGTTTTGTTGTGGATTTTCGGGCTGTTATCTAACTTGTTATCTAACTTGCTGTTGATTGATTTTTAACAAATAAGGCATTTTAGTAAACGCGTCATCACGTGTCTTTTTATATTGAAAAGCTTCTCCGATCGATGGTGCTCCGAGCCGATTTCTGCCTGCTCGTATTCCTGTTTCATTTCCACACTAAGAAGCATGAAGAAATAAACTCCGCCCCCTTTTTGAGACTCGTTATAATCTCCCTATTTTACATATTTTAAACATGTATTCTGTTACTGTCTGCTGCTGCAATGAATAAAGTTTAATTTCATCTGACGCCTGTCTTCACTGTATACGCTTAAAAAAAGGTTAAAAAAACACATTTTATAGTTTTTTTTATAGTTTTTAATGCCTAAACTGGTCTATTATTTTAATAATTTAATAACATTATGTTTGTGCTTTTATTTAGAAATTGTTAGGTAGGAACCAAAATAAATTACAGCTTATATTTGTATTATTTAAACAACAAACAACGGACACTGTGCTGACATAATGTAGATAAATAAACAACAAAAAAAGGTGTAGAAAAAGGAAACTGAGCTTAGAAAAGTACAACAAAATATAACAAAATTAGCAAAAAGCTAACCTATAAGTAGAAAATAATCCAATCACAAACAAACAAATATACATGTAGTAATAATTTAATTATGTCAGGTGAAAAAGTGGTCAAAAGAATGTGTATTGTCAGTAGTTTTTTCATTGTTATTTTTTATTGAAGTTATTGTTTTTTATGTTGTATCAGGATTTGTTGTATGTTGTATATTTTTTCTGTTTTATTTCATTTTTCTAAATTATGTTATTTAGCTTTTTCATTATTTTGTTACTTTAAAGGTGGGGTAGGTAAGTTTGAGAAACCAGCTCGAGATCGCTAGAATTTGAAAATACACAACCGGAAGAAATCTGCCACTTCCTTACAGAGCCCCTCCTCCAACACACACGAACGCGCACATGACCAATGAGGGCACGAGATAAGTTTGTGCACAGATGGAAGGCTGACAGGCAGGTAGGCCATCCAGTTATTTTAGCCGGGCCGGCTCAGATGATTGGTCGTGCTTTTTACAGTATTACGGCTTCCACAGATGATATTTTTTTATGGATTTTTTGTCAAAGCACTTAAGATATTCATTGCTATCGGGATGTTAAGAGCATTCCATGGAATATAACAAAAAGTGTATCTCGAGACGGTTTCTCAAACTTACCTACCCCACCTTTAATGTTACTTGTTTTTATTTTTTTGTTGTTCGATTCTGACAGTTTTTTCCTAACTTTGTGCGCTTTTTGTTGTCGTTTATTGTTATTTTTATTATGATGTATAAGGATTTGTTGTATGTTATATTTCTTTTCTTTTTCTAAATGTTGTCATTTAGCTTTTTATTCCCTGTTTAAATGTAATTGCTGTATTTATTATTCTCTTTGGACAGCTTTATTTTATTCCAGATTGTCTGTCCATTTTGTTTTCATTTTTTAATGTTGCGTTTCTCCGCATAACCCCGTGTTTTCTTCTCTCCTCATAACTCATTTATTTTTCTAAATTATCTGTATTTGATGAAAAGGGCACAGAAAGCACAGAAACCAGCACAAAAACACGACTCGGTGATGAAGGTCACACATCAGTGAGTGGGAGGGTGAGTGTCGGTTACCCTGGTTACCCTAGCATGTTGTAGGTCTCCATGGTGATGAGCAGCGGGCCTGCCCATTGGCCGGGAGCAGCGGCCAATCACAACGCAGCGTGGAACACAGGCAAAAGGTCATTAATTTAAAAAAAATCAAAGGGTCGAAGGGATTAAAGA